GAGCTTCGACGGAAAAAAATTAGGAAGAAACGGAGTGGGAAAGGTTGGTCGCGGAACGATGCTGAATGAGCAGCGGGAAACCCCAGTTACAAGAGAAACATCGCGGCCGTTGTGTGAAAGTATATAAAGATGCATTGTAGCCTAAACACCGTCTTACATGTACTTTGGACGTTTATCGTTTAAAACTCTTTTACCTAAACTTCCAGCGTCCTTTATCTGACAATAAGTTAATTATTATTTCCCCTGTTATTTGTTTGTTATTTTCCCTGAAAGGTGTTTACAAAGTAACAGTATGAAATTGATGTGTAGTTGTTGTTACTTTGGGTCCTATAGTATGTGTCCTCATGATACGAATAAGGTCGTGCCGTCGGATGAGTTTTTCACGTTCGAACGGGGGGAAGCGTAGAAGATGGCGGTAGCTGCGAGAGTGGGAGTCGGACGAAAAAGGGGGAGGCTGGCTTCTAAATGGTTCCCGCCCTGAAAGCTTCCGCCAACAGCTGGAGGAGAGGCTAGGCGCCGGGCTGGGGGAGGTCCGCTAGGAAGATGCATCGGAAGTGGAGACCAAAAGCACGAGCCTCGGCATGCGCCTGTGGTAAAGAGTCGATGAAGGAGAAAGTAAAGTCGTTGGGTTGGGATTTGAAAGTATTCCGCAGATGTAATTCAGTCAGTTGGGGCTTATCTGCCACGCCCTTTTCCACTTCTCTCTTTCTCGGGATTAAAAATAACACGTCAAGCGGCGACTGGGAACGGAAAGCCTCCTAGACTCGTTTGGGGGGTACTGCAGGAGCATGCACGGACGCGAGAGCCTCCTGACCGCGCTCCAGACTCTTGGTGCTATTGTGTGTTTCAAAAATAGAACTAGTTCATCAATTCCACTTACCTCATAGTACGTTGCTTTCCTCATAAAGTTCAGTAACCACGCTGAAGCATCTTCGAGACGTGTACACGGGGAGAGGGAGAGAGAGAAGGGGGGGGGGAGGGGGCGATGCTTGAAGGGGAAAGAACAACTCTCTGAGGAGCAGCAGCCCTTGTTAGCCGTTCAAGGGGAAGCTCCATGGAGTGGCAGGGGCAGGGCGGAGGCACTTTGGCGCGACTAACGAAGGCGTCGACTAGACATTACCGCTGCGCTCTGGCTTCCTGCGGTAATGTCGCTTGATGGCGTCTGTCGTTGCGCCCTCCGCCCTCCCTTGCCCCTCTTTTCGTTCTCATCTCTACCCTTTAACCCGAGGAGCTCACACCCAAAAACAAACCACACTCATTGACAGACGGTAACGAGGCATTGGTGTAAATGGTGTAAATAGACAGATGGTAAAACATACAGCCTACGCCGTAGGTAAAATATGACGATTTTAGACTTGAAAAACCTTGCGTGCTCGTGCGGCTGGTGCACCTACTTTGTGGGCTCGTACTCGTAGGGCTGGTTCGCCTGGAGGCAAGAGCTGTTCAGCGCGCGGCAGCCTTCCCTTTTGGAGGCTCTGGTTGGGGGGCGATTGCTTTTTTTTAAAAAAGTTGACACATTTTAGGTCGATCAGCTTGGCTTACCTCGAGTACTTTCGCCCTCTGGCCGTCCACACCCTTATGCCGCCACTCTACCAGCGGACGGGTCGCATATTGAAACGACCACTGCGGAGAAAAGTCTGATCCTCTCCTCCTGGAACGAGGGGCGTGGTAGTGGGGTACGGCCGGGCGACAGAAAATACGGTCCAGCCATTCCGAAAATGGCGTGTTTGCCCAACTCAATTTATCGCAAAAATTTTCCGCCTTGGATGGGTGGACGCGGCGCGCGGCCTGGGTTGGAGGAACAGAGCCAGTGCCTGACGGTCGCACTGTGAACCCAACAGTCGACCATGTGGTCCACACATGACTACGCGCGGAAACGCACAAGCAACGAACAAGTGTATGATGGCTATGTACCTATCTGGCGGACGGTTGACAGCCATGTGTCTGGTAGGGTAGGTCGACCGCTAACCTTTTCGCCATCCTAAGCACTAACCAGCCACTACGGGTATGACCTTTGTCACTTGAACTAGAAAGTTAGCTGGCGCAGCTAATATTGTTACCCATCACGAATCTAGCTAATCCTTCTTTTCCGTGTTGCAGCAGTAGGCCTGGCAGGCACAATTTTTTAGAGTCATGAACTTGCTGGCCCTAAAGAAGGATTTCCGGAAATCGGCTTACTTCCTAACAGCATTAACAAAGCTAAGAAGGGCACATATTAAAGAGCAAGGCATTCAGTCCTTTGCCGCCTTAAACTAGGGAATTTTCGTTTCCTGCTTGAAGCCGTTATTGACAGGTTGAGTTCGATAAAAGTGGTCTGCTGACAGCTGCAAGTGGTTCCTCAGTGCCCCTGCCCCTGGTATCAAGCGCGCTGTTGGCCTTGTTGGGCGTGGCCCGGCCGGGGCGGCCCGGCGGCCCGTGAGGTGAGCGGGGAAATGGATCCCCCTCATTGTGAATGATATCACAGGCTGTCGCGGCTGTCGCGCTGCTGCGGCGCGCTGCTGCGGGGGTGGCGTGGCGTGACGCACTGTGTGGAGGTATCAAGTTCCTGACAGATGAGAGATGGCTCGTCTCGATAGCCCCCTCCCCGCGATGTTCGTCTTGTGAGGGAGAGCAGGAGGTGTGGGCACATCCGTCTCTCCTCGCGTCTCACCTGGTGAGGCCACCCAGGTGATGTGGTGTTGAGAACGGGGACGGGTGGTTAGGAGAAGGGATGGGGCTGCTGCTGCTGCTGCAAAACCAGGAGCAAAATGTGCTGATGCGGCTGAAACTCCTGAGGTGATTTTGGTGTAATTACCTTAAGTCGGAAACATTCGTGGGGTTGACACTTGACAGTGTGGGTAGTTTTTTCAAGTGTCTCTCACAAGTCCCTTAGAAAAACAATGCCGCCCTGCACCGCCAATAACAAATCACTAATTTTGGGAATGTCCAACTTTTTAACATGTGTAAGTGTGCACTAGTCCAAACCGATTTGGACACTGCGCCTTGTTTGGTGGCTCCTACTTAGAGATATGCCTCGTGTTTATAGTTTTTCAATTCGTTCCCACTCACCTTCGCGTAGCTAAAACTGATGGGATTGGTTTACAACAAATAATTACTTCGACGGAATAAGCGGGCGCCATCCTGTGCTTGGCCGCCACTCCAATGTAGTGTGCTAGTGGGATAGAAAAAGAGGGAGGGGTGGGGGACCCCAGCCCACCAGCAGTCCCGAGCGTCCCTAGCCCGGCGGGGTTCCCAGACAGCCTTGACATTGCTCGGCTGCCACGATGGACCGGGACTACGGGACGGACAGACGCGTGCCTTTGCTCTGCCCGGGCCGGGGAAGTGGGGCGGGCGAGCTGTTGTTGGGAGATGAAAGACGGAGGGAGGAAGCAAGGAGTTGCAGGAGCGAGGAGAGAGTGAAACTGGGAGGAAGCAAGGGGTTGCAGGAGCGAGGAGGAGGAGGGAGAGAAACGGGGAGGAAGCAAGGAGTTGCAGGAGCGGGGAGAGAGAGAAACGGGGAGGAGGCAAGGAGTTGCAGGAGCGAGGAGAGAGAACATACACAATGAGTAATACTGTAATCACCAGTAATCACTGTTATTCCTGCTGCATAAACACGTAGGTATTTTTCTAAAAAATGAATCAGTACAGGTCTAAGAGTGTCCGAATTTCCGTTTACCTTTTGCCACAGAACGACAGCAGAAGTGGGAAGGCCTCCTGGACCTCAGCCGCCAGTTGAGCAATGGATTCGAGACAAAAACTTGTCGAAACACTGAGTTGAAACTCGCGCTATGTGGCGCCCGTAGTCAGGGGGAATTCGAAAATGGAAGATATCTCTGCTTTGCCAGGGCGAGCGGACCTGAGCCGGAGCGGAAAAGGGGGCGGGGGGCGCACTCGTGGCTGGTCAAGCCCGCGCCGCCCGGGAATGCTAGGCGATGGAACGTGTTTTAATATAACTCTCCGCTACGGAGTTATGCCCTTCTGAAGAGCGAAGAGCAGGAAATAATGTCTACGGAGAGGGAGGCGGACAGAGAGAAGAGCGAGGAGAGCATTCCACAGGAGGAGGCGGTGGCGGCTCCGGCAGCGGCTCCAGCAGGCCGCCGGAAACCTGATCGTTTTATCACTGGAATGCCGGTCTCCCCTTCCCACCCCACCCCCTCTTCCCTCGACCTCAACACTAGGCACCGGCAGAGAACCTATCGAGAACCGTCCGCGGTAGATCGGCAGCTGAACTGCTGGTGGAAAGGGTAGGGGGGTTCTCCTAGGATCCAGCGTGTACTGCAAAGAGGGCCGCAGTATAGTTTTGGGCTTCACTGGAAAATGTCTACAAAGGCATTGTTTGGTATTACAAAGAAAACGGAAGCATTGTAACACAAAGCGAAATTTCTTCGTAATTCTGAAACATTCCTGTGTAAGTACTAAGCTATGCGAATGCGGTTGCACGGCTACAATTTTAACCACAACCGAATTATTAACAATATTTACTTTTCATAAGTCTGGAAATATAGACATTATTTATTATTGGTCCGGCATTGCATTTCCATGCTCCCCCGGCCGTTCGAGTGTGGAGAACCATGATGCTGGAATGACTTCTTTGCCCCCTCCTCAGTCCTTGGCTGTGCCCTGGCTGCCCCGGCCCCCAGGAGGAGCTCAGGTGGTCCAAGGGATGGGCGGTGGGAAGATGCCATCTGTCGGGCGCTCTCCCAAGGAGGGCGGGCGTGGGCGCCGAAGCTGCTGCCGGGGTGGGGTGCGCCAGCTTCCGAACAGAGTCTGAATTTTAATCTGGGACCTCCTGTTTGACGCCGGCGACGCTGCGGACGGGGATTGGAGGACGGCACAGCGGGGATCGTCGTGGGTCTCGCATAAGGCGTTTGGAGAGAAATGCAGAAAGATGCAGAGAGTTGGAGGGAGTGAGTTCTCACCACAATATGTTTAAATTTTCCTCACAAAACCCGACCGACCCTCACGGCTGCTGTTCATAAGACGCGTTCCTTTGACTGACTTTGGCATTCTCTCTGTTGCAGCGGCGGCATGTGACGGCCCTGCGGAGCCCGGCCCCGGCGCGGTGCCCGCGGGCCATGCGGCGGTAGGGGAGGGGAGCGCGCGAGGCGAGCGGCGATGGAGGGGCTGGCCACCGTCGTCGCCCTCGCGGCTGAGAACCTGACGGCCTCGGCGGGCCCTTCCTCGTCCTCGGCCGCCTCGCCGACATGGACGACGCCGCCGTCCCAGCTGTCCTCCTCATCGCCGTTCGCCGAGGACGTGTTCAACAACATCACGTCCACGGAGCCACCCATCGGCAAGTCGCGCTACTCGGTGTCCGAGATCATCGTCCTGGCCATCTTTGCGGGCAGCCTGTCCATAGTCACCGTCGTCGGCAACTCTATGGTCATGATCTCGTTCAAGATCGACAAACAACTTCAGACCATCAGCAATTACTTCTTGTTCAGGTAAGCATTAGGTTGTCTGTATCCTAGCTATTTTTAGAAACACAGTTTTAAAGACGTCAGTTCACTCTTGACGCCCCCGATCCCAAGCTTGCATAGCGGTCCATCGGACTCCAACCAACAGGGGCGGCCAGATGGTCGTGACCTCGGCCCTGACGCAATTATCAGAAATGAAATGGGAGCAAAACCGTCGGCAAACCCAGGCTCAATTAAAGGGACTCGGACCATTATTAGCGAAACCTAACCCCAAAACGCACCGCGAGTTCATGGCGAGGTGGGGACTGTGGCGCTGTGCGGTTCATTTGGTGGTCCGCCCCGCCTCGCCCCGCCTCCGCCCCGCCTCGCCCCGCCGCGTTGCGCCTCTCCACGCCGGGAGCGCCCCGGTCAGGTAGGCTGGGGAAACACGTCGTGTTGTCCTTGCGGCGTCGGCTTGTTAGTTTGGCAAACGCTCTCCTCAAAGGCCCTCCTCCCCCACATCCCTTTCGCTGGCCCCTCTTGTTCGTTGCCTCTATCAAGTTCTGCGGCATGAAAAAGGGTGACGCGGGTTTAAGAAACGTAGCGTTCTGTACATTTCGGTTTAACGGTTTAGAATGGCCCTGACCACGACCCACGTCTTTCCGCAGCCTGGCGGTGGCTGACTTGGCCATCGGTCTCATCTCCATGCCGCTGTTCACCGTGTCGGCGCTCATGGGCTACTGGCCGCTGGGTCCGCACGTGTGCGATGCTTGGCTCACCTTGGACTACCTCAACAGCAACGCGTCGGTGCTCAACCTGCTCATCATTTCGTTCGACCGCTACTTCTCTGTCACCCGGCCGTTAACCTATCGCGCCAAGAGGACCACCAATCGAGCCGCCATCATGATAGGTAAGTACGGAACGGGTGCTGGATATCAGGCTAGCTCCTCAGGCACTACGACTGTACTGCGTGACTGTTATGGGTTCTGCTCTTCTCCCATAAGTTCAGAAAAATGCCGGCAAATGCACTTTTACTTCTTCAAAACCAAAGATGCAAAACAGTACAGCTTCTTTGAAGTAGTGCTTTGGAATATTGTAAGGGTGCAACTGTTTTAGTTCCTTCCTAGTTTGGTCCGATTTATCTACATTTTTCTCGCTGTATAATACTTTTACCCCAAACTCGCCCCTTCGCGTGATAAGAGTAACTTGACCCCGCCGACACCCCCCCCCTCTCTGGCCCCTGTTCTCCTATCAACGTAAAGGCCATGCGGTTTTCTGAACGAGCCCCATAAAGAAGCCAATTTCGAAGAGAGCTGCTGTTGGCCGATACGAACGCTGAACGCCTCACGTGGCAGGGAGCGTGCAGACGCGTGGCCGGCGCAGACTCAGCTGACTCGCTCGCGATGATTGGCCGTCGTTATTTGTCGCTCGGTGCCCCTGTGCCCACCCACCTGCTACGAGCGCTGCCGCCTCCGTCGTGGGGAGCGCGTAACTGTAAAATGGTCTCGCGCATTGAATTATTTGCAACTATTTGAGGAGTTCGATTTTTTTTTGTATTCCAAAGAATGTCTTTGTATTGTAAGTGTGTATTTTCCAGCTCTTTCACTCTAACAAGGGGACTCGGGGACTCATACAAGTGTAAATTCCCGAATCCGTTTAAACTTTGCGGGGTTTTCAATGTCGACTGCATCCTAAACGATTGCCGATAACAGTTCGTACCCAATTTTATATTTTGGTTACAACCTAAAGCAAGGGTGCTGATTTGCCATGCACCCCCCGAGTGCGTGTGCGGTGCGCGTGCAGCCGATCGCTGCGAGACGCGGCCCAAGGCCTGGAGAGACCGACCCCCCCGCTGACCCGCACCGATCCCCTCATCTCCCCCTCTCCAGCCCGGAACTCATTCCTCTGCTGAACCCCCATTGGTCGGGGAGCTGTGGCGGTTTACTCCCGAGGAATGCCAAAGAGGTCCGGGGGGGGGGGTGCCGAGGAGAGGGGAGCGGGGCGGTGAGTTCATTGAAGAGTCCGCGTGGCAGGATAGGCGATGCAGGACACATTCTCCAACAGGAACAGCGAAAACGATCACAGTCAAATAACGAGAAAGGAAGTTAGAGCCAAAGCCACAGTGAAGTAGTATGGGGTTAGTATGGCCAACGTATTCAATGCCAACGGTTTAGGGATCATCCAGATAGTACGCCCGTTTTTCTCATATTCGTTCGGCAAATTACGGGAGTTGGGCGCCTGCGAGGCGCAGGGTAGGCTGTCCCGCAACACAGGAATGCGTTGCAGGCAGTGTGTTGCCTACCTACCAGGCGCCGTAGGAGCAGGAATGGGTTGAACTCGTAAGTTTCATAACGGGGAATGACGCGGACGCAGTTCTAGACGATGCTTTTTTAAAGCAGCTTCCTGCACTCAGAAAAATCGTTTCTTGTTTCAAGTAATTTTTTCCTGGCTTTAAGTGCAGGCTGCCAAAAGATGAAAGTTACTCTTGAAACAAGCAGATATTTTCTTTCGAGTAAGAGAACAATCTTATTCCAATGACAAAATTGCCTAGTTTCAATGGTGAATTTCATCTTGTGTCAGCTTGCACCACTATTTTACTATTTTTATGGGTGTGTCGCTTGTACAAGTTGGCCGGGTCTTCAAGGGTTTCACATCTTCACCTCGCGATACTGTGATACGCTGCGATACTTTGCTGCAAATACCAATTTCGTTCTCACGCACAATAACTGATGTGTACAAAGGATTTCGAGCAATTGTAATTCAAACAAGTTCTTGGTAATACGAAGAGACCAGATAGTATTACAAATCAGGCTCTTCGCACTACGAACCGGGGGCTGTTCGTATGGAGAACAATCGTTTGTAGTATAGCTGCTCCGCCTTTTATGTACATTACAAACTACGATAGGGTGAATAACGCATGCACCCATAAACACTTGGTGTGCTTGTCATACGATCGCTCATCAGCTAAAAGAATCAGCCAACAGATGAAAATCATTATTTCAACTGATGACTGTCTCCGCCCCTCAACAGCCAAAGCGGGCGCGCAGACTGTCTGGGTGGGGCGGCATCAGTTGAGGTCTTCAATGCGAAGCGCTCTCGGAGCTCAAGTGCTAAGAGTTGTTGGTTTTGGAGAGCGGCCGCGCGCAGTGGGGTGGGGCTGGTGCGGGCTGGCGCTAGCTGGCGCGGGCTGGAGAGGCGGTAGGGGTAGACAGGTGCGGGGGCACGGGGTAGAAGGGGTTTGAAGGCCACTATGCCATGCGGGAGGGGGAAGAGAGATGGGAGGAAGAGAGAAAGAGAGGGGGGATCCGCGCGCCGCTCTGCGCGCCTCCTAGCCCTCCCGCCACCTTACGCCACCACTGAGTTGAGGTCGTTCAAACAACTCAAGTCATTCGCAAACTTTTCCACCTTCCCACTGGGAAGGAGGGGTGGCGACGGCGCGGCGGCTGGGCCACTGGCAGCGCCAGTGCGGTGGAGGTAGGGCACGTGTGCATCAGGGTCATCTCATGCAGTCGGATCATGCCCAATGATTTTTTTCTAAGAAATGCAAGTGCATAGACTTTTCAGTAGCTTTAACTCTTGTTAAGCAGAAAGGCAATCAATTAGTAATTGACTAGTCGCATAAGCGCTCTAGACCAGCGAACCAGTTATTAGAGGCTGGGGGTGAGGAATGCTGTGAGGCGCGACGCGCCCTAATAATACCAGGCCTCCGCCGCCCCGCTCGCTCCGTCCTCTTCTCCCCTCCTTTCGCTAGACCGCCAGATTGTGCGCAAGCTGTAAACGAATGCCACAAGACTGGCGATATTACGCGCACTAACGATTTTGTTTCAGCTTTGTACAGTCGTAAATTACTTTTACACAATTCGTACAAATTTACGAACAAAAAATTGCACTGGACGTGTACTAAAAGATTGCCGTTTTTGGAATAAAATTGTCCTTTTTCTTTTAGAGCGTAACCTACACTGATAAACCAAGTGTTCAACTGCTCAACATTTGTAAGTGTGCAATCGCAAGTTCAATACTTGCAAGTGTTCAATTCAGTAGTAGTACACTTGCAAGTGTTGAACTCGGTATTTGTGCACTTGTAAGTGTGCAACTCCTCTGTTGAACACTTCCCTTACAGTAAGCGCCCGGTATAGAGAAGTGTACAAAAGGAGAGTTAAACACTTACAAGTGCACAAATGTTGAGTTTAACACTTGCAAGTGTACTACTATTGAATTGTACACTTGCAAGTATTGAAATTGCGGTTGGACACTAACAAGTGTTGAGCAGTTGAACACTTGGTTTATCAGTGTATTCAAAATTGCGTGTATGCATGGATAAGTTCATAATACTTCAGTGTGCACAAGATGAATCCGCGTCCCCGTACCCGAACCGCTGCCCTCGAATACCTTTTTTTCGTATTTGCGAATGGGAAGCACCCATTCACCCCTGGTCAGCCAGCTAGGGCTCTTCAGGGTTAGAAGCAGACAGCTTGCTGATTGATTTACTATAACTTACTAATAGAAACTTTATATGCATTTGTATGCACATAGTTGTTACATTGTATAACACGTATAGTATTCACATATCCAGTCAGACTCTTGAAAGTGTGCAACATAGTGTTGAACACTTGCATGTGTACGCCAGTGGGGCACTAACCCAAGTCTGATTTTAGTGCCCCTGTATAGACACTAAAGGGCCCTATGGGTTCCAAAAAATAGTGCCTTTTGGCAGTTTTAATGGCTTTGTAAAAAGCCACTAAACCCTTAGTGTTTTTCAAAGGTAGGAATAATTAACACCTTTGTTTTTCTAGTGTGTCTGCATCCAAGGAGGGATTTAAAGTAACATTTGACACATCCCAACCCCACCTTCCTCCCCGACCAGCGAATGAATGGTGCTACGGTGGTGCAGTCCTCGCTCGGTCCGCCTGCCTGTGGCCCTCGCAGCGCCGCACGTACCGAAGGATAACCTTGGAACAAACTTGAGCCATATTTACGAACTCGCCTTGGCGTCGTGTGCCTCTCTTGCTTCATAAGAAAGATCTCCTGGGGACGTTCAGGGGGGGGGGGGGCTAATGGGAGACGTAGGAGAGTATCCCACCGTTTTGTCCTTCGGCCTCAAGACTTCATTGAGGTATCATATTATAACACATGTAAGATGTCTGAGGTCTGCCTTGCTTCTGCAAGCATTGCTCCCCAAAAGATTTTTTTCTAAACGAAATAGTGGGTTACTTTGCACATCCTGCTCTTTTGCTTTCTTACGGTGCAGCATTTGTCTACGCCGTGGGTGGCTGTAGGTCAGAGAGAGAGAGAGAGAGAGAGAGAGAGAGAGAGAGAGAGAGAGAACAGTTTGACAGCCAGTGCCAATTTTAAAGTGCCGCCTGCCTCCCAACCCCACCCATCCCCGTCCGGGTCGGACGTCGACTGATGCGACCTCCATTGTTTCCGCCATGTTGTCGGCGGCCATGATTTACAGCCGTTTTACGACGGAAAACTCTTTTATTTACCCCATCCTTGTTTACGCCGCTTGCTGAGCGGGACTGTTGCCTGTAGGGGCCACGGCGGTGAGAACCGCCTTAGATAGGTGGTATACCGAAGAATCGTACTTTCCGGGCCTGTCCAAGGGTCAGCTACCTCGAGTGTAACAGCCAAGACGCCCCACACGTCCACTCTAAACGACGTGGCTACTTGTTGGTGGCTCTTTTTTAAATGAAAAATTTTGGTCTGTTTAAAATGCGGCATTCGAAAAGAAAGGCCAGAATGTTGCTTATCAATGCGACCACGGCGTTTAGTGTGTTTAGCACAGTTAGATGCAGTTCTGCTTATGTGTTAACACAGCAATCTCACAGCAAGTACTGGTGAAACTGGGCAAAACCAAGGTGCTGTGTTTTACCTTCAAAGCTTTAGTGCCTGAAAAAACTGGAAATTTCT